AGAGAAATGGGAGGCACCTGAGCTAAATTTCAAGTGTGGTTGCAAAGGGTCTGAATACTTACGCCAATGTAATATTTCAGTTTTTCCTTTTTAATAAATTTACAGACACTTCTAAAATTCAGTTTTCACTTTGTCATTATGGGGTACTGAGAGTAGATTAATGAGAAAAAAAAAAGAATTTGAACGATTGTAGTATCAGGCTACAACATAACAAAATTGAAAAAAGTGAAGCGGGTCTGAATATTTTCCGAATGCACTGTAACTGAAGTATTAGATTTACACCTGTGTTTCTCAAATGTGGCAATTTTAAGATGTATGGACCTCAGCTCCCAGCAGCATGCTGGCTGGGGAATTCTGGGAGTTGAAGTCCACACTTCTCAAAGTTGCAAAGTTTGAAATACATTGATTTACACTAATACCTAAAATAACTTATGTAGGTACATAGTGAAAGCTTGCTACAATATGGTTCTAAGGCAGTGTTCTGAGAAGCTTCTTTCTCTTCCTCCTCCTCGATTCCTTCCTGTTGACTGATTTAATCCCCAAAGTGAGAGGCTTTTGATGCTGCCTGAAGTTTTGAAATCCATTTCCCTGTGTTTTCCAGCAGTAACTGAGGGGTGAGCTATTAATCTCTGAATGCCAGCTCCGTTTGGAACAAGGACAACTGTCACCAGTCAGCAAGAAAGGGAAACATAGGCTACATACCTGCTTCACTGCTGGCTGTTTTGTTTAGATCAAAAGAAACAAGGATAGGCACACAAAAAAATTTAAGGAATTAATCAAGGAAAAGCAGAGCCCTTCCCAGCGTTTGGATTATGGTGACACTGATTGCTGTGTATTTTGACACCTGCTGCTCTTTAGAGATGCAGAAAGGATTGCTAATCTCAAATCTAGTCCACGTTCTGGAAATAAATAGACTCCTATTGAAAGTGCTTCTGCAGGTATATATTTTTTATTCTCTAGGATTGTTCCAAGCCTTGAGCATAGCACTTCCCTTCTTTGTGCACCTTTTTAAAATGACTTTATATAAGAAAGCCAATGAAACTGCCTCTCTGTGTTGAGAAAAAAATCTGCCTGTGGCATTTCTTGTTAAATGGTCATTTAAAGAGACAAAAGTCCTGTTGGAGTTGATGTAGAAAAATGGCAACAATGTAGAATGATAGCTATTATATTATATTATATTATATTATATTATATTATATTATATTATATTATATTATATTATATTAAACAATCAATTGAGAGTTTGTAAATTTTATTTATGAGCAGCTTCAGGAGCTGTGGTATGGATTAGAACATGATACTGGAGAATGGAATATGAGTTGTCCTTTCCCATTGTCCTTACCTGCTATCATCTTAATTTGAATATTTTCCTCAAAAAATGTACATGCTCTATGCAGTGCTTTGGGACAATATTAAGAAAAATTTCAAATAAGATACAATCCTAGTTTTCACGATTTAGAAGCAATTTGGCCCTTTGAAAATACTCATTCTAGCTCCAGCAGCTGAAATAGAGGAGAGAACTATATTGTCCTCTTCTAAAGGAAGAAAACTCATAAAAACATGGGTCCCTAATGTGGGTTATGTGGGCGCCAGTGTGCCCAATGGCATTCATTGGCACTTATCAAACACCATGCTCCATCTGATTTATGTATTTATTTATGTATAGTTTCCCTTAATTCAAGGAAAGGAAAATGCAAAAGACCAGTCCCAAGCATCATATTTTCAGGAATGCTTCTTGGCCTTTCTAAAGAGGGAGGGAGGATGTAGTCCAATTCTCTCATTGGTCTTCTACTGTATTGGCATTTTGTGACTAGCCTTTCTTTTCAAGACAGCTGTTTTGTGAGAATTCCACATCAGTCCACTGGACCCTCCAAAGTTGGGAATCCCTGTGCTAAAACATCTTATCAATAAGATCTGCCTTTAAAATGAATGCATGTGCCTAGAAATTTAGTCCCGCTTATGTAACTTATCTTGATTATGCTTAATACTTATTTAATACTTATGTCTTGTTATGTTTAATACTTGTTCTTTTTGTCTGCTTTCATGACAAATTTATTATTAGGACTGGTTTTATGTTGCATTTTAATGAATTTTATCTCTGCTGTAAACCGCCCAGAGTCGTTTCAACAAAATGGGCAGTGACAAATTGGATAAATAAATAATTTTAACAAATCACACTTGTTTTTTCTTGCCTTAAAAGGTAATATAGACTTGCAATTCTAGCATATTGCAGTAGGTATAGTTGCATTTAGAAATGGCCAGTGCAGCAGTACCATACTTTTTAAATGTGTGGCAGAAATCTAATCAAAACAAGACAATTACATTACATTAATTATATGAGAAAGATAATCTTGTCTCACAACTTTAGTTGGGCTAGAGCTGAACTGAACACACCTATGTTGTGTGACTGTTTGATCAGAGTGGTATCAGTGTTTCTAGAACTGTACTGAAATTTTTATTTACTTAGAACATTGAAATATTGCCACTAATTAAAATCAGATTCTTTTAACATGTTTTAGTAAGTGGAAAAGATAGTGATTCAAGTGATACAGTCTAGAACCACTTATTTGACTTATTATTTTACAAGTAGATGGAATTTTTAAAATAAACCACAACTGAATATAGCCCACCATTTTTTTAATCTTAGTATTTAGCCCCCACATTAGCTTCGATTGCTATCTTTCTTGCAGATTTACAAAAGTATTCTGTAGTCTGACTTAATAATTTGGGGACAAGAGCATATTAACTGCATCCACTGAGCTATTTGTTGAAATGGTTCTCTAGAGATGGATCTAAACAATGTCATTAATTTTTCTGTCTTCTTGCTTGTTGTTCCATTAAGCCAAAGATCTTGTTTATGTCTGACATAAAATACACATGTCAAAAATACATGAAATTATGTAGGCTTCTGAATATGGCCAAGACCAGTTTATGAATATTGTACAAATTAGAAGCAACCTGTAGTGTTGGGTTGGTGTCACTGTTTGGGTGACTGTTGAATGTCTGAGGTGATCCAAAGTTGACCCTTTCCCCCAAGTACTTAGGTGTGGATGTCTCCAGCTCTGTTGTTTCATATAACCAGAAACCATTTCCTATGATTTTTGATAAGTTCCGTCTGTTTCAGCTTCAGAAAAACACATTGTGAAAAAATGTTGCATTTTATTGTGTTTTCAGAGCTGAATGTGCAATTTAAGAACATAGCTACTACATACGGTCTACAGTCTCCATTTTGAGGCAGACTTTGAATTGCAGATCTCACAGCTGCAATTCCTGGCCAGTCATTTGGACTTTCTTCTCCATCTCCTACTTTTTGTACCTCTGTTTTATCTGCCTAATGACACAAGTTTTCTGGACATGGGTTGTCGTGTTGATGTTTTATTACAGGCAGTTCACTGAGTTGGAGCAGTAAAATGAGGAATGTTTCACACAATATAATCAATTTATAAAATTGTTGGCTGATTATATTCTGAACTTTGATGGTATTGACATTGGTTATTTCTACATACAGTAAGAAAAGACAGGAGACATTTGCAGATTTAAGTGCCTCTGAAAGTGTCTCCTTCAATTTGCAGATGGTCCCTATTCCAGCTGGAGTGTTTACAATGGGAACTGATGAGCCAGTTATAAAACAAGATGGAGAAGGGCCTGGAAGGAGAGTCCACATTGGTCATTTTTTCATGGATCGCTATGAAGTCAGCAATGCAGAGTTTGAGAAGTTTGTGAATGCTACTGGCTATGTTACAGAGGTAAGTGAAGGAAATGGGTGTTTTTGCAAAGTAGTCCCAGGCAGCTCTTCATTTGGGAGTCTATATCCCCTAAAGATGAACTGTTTTGGAGCACTCTGCACAAAGGAAAGAGCCCACACAATGACATCTACGTAACTTACTGAAAGTTGGCCTGCTAAGGGGTGAACACTTTTTCTGGAGAGAAGATTCAAGATCTGTACAGAAGAAGAATACTATTGCCCCATCCAACAAAAGGAGGAGCAATAAAGAGAGCCCTAGCTGCTTATTGGTAGCTGCGTCTTCTAGGAGCTTATTGAACAGTGTACAAGCTTGTGAAGCAGGAGGTACAAGTTCAAGCACCACCACTGCTTGTTAGAGGACAGTGGCAGATATGAGTTGGACACATCAGAAAGGATATCCTCCTCCATCTGTCCTATCCTCAGCCCACCATTATAGAGCTATAGGAGGAATAGCTGGGGAACAGCTCATATTGTATATGAGGGATGACAATTTGGTTCAGATTCAGGATACAATCTCAAACTAGGATGATAGAAGATCCGATAAAGTGTGCTGTGTGGATCAAACACATGTTTTGGTCCATTTATCCCTCAATTCTTCTCCTTCATCCAGGGCCAGTAGGTCAGCCCTGGTAAGCAGCAGGCCTTATTGTCTTAGCACCTGCTACATAATTTTGTCAGAAAAAGTAGATGTGGAAATGTTTTACCAGTGTCTGTCAAGATGTCAGCTTCTTTCCTGTTCAGTCAGCACTGCAATGTTCCAGCTTAATGATTTGCCTTCCCCAGTGCATACTCCTCTAGTTGACTTAGACTATAGCTCCCATTATCTACAACCAGTACAGTCAATAGTTGTGCTGACTGTAGGTTTTATTTTTTTAACTCTGGAGGTATGAGAGGGTGATACAATCCATCAGTTTTCCATGAGACAACTGAAAGAGCTATCAAAAAAGCAGTAATAAGGATGCCTTTTTTCTGAGCTTTCTATTTATTGAATCTTTAATTTGCCCAATCATGAGAGTTCTCTGGGCATATTACAAGGTGATTTAAAACTGTAAAAACACTAAAGTAAAATATTTATTCTTTCTTTTACAATATTTGTAATCCCCCCTATTTGTAGTGAACTGTAGGTGGGGAACGACAAATCATCTGCAAAAACTGAAAAAAATTAATGTAAAAAGTAATATTATTAAAATCCATTAATAACTATCATAGGTGCCCTTAAAACAAAACTAATCTGTTCTAAGAGCTGGACACACACTGGATCAAAGCTGCTTTAGCTTGTTTACAAAATGTTAACTGAGTCAAGATCATCTGTACTTCTGGAAGAAGAGTATTCCATGAAATGGGGACCGACAATGAGAAGGCCCATCACTTGTTCTATGGACCTCATAAGAAAGGGGAGCTACAAAAGACTCTCTCTTGATGACTAAACTAGATGGTCAGGTTTAATTCTGGCAATGTGTTGCATATTATAGATCCCAGAGCTCAGTCATATAAGACTTTAAAAGTAATAACCAGCACTTTGAATTGAGCCTGGGAACTTACTGACAACCAATGCAGCACCTTCAAAATGTGAATTGGGGTTGTTCCATCAATGGTTTAGCTGCTGCATTTTGTATCAACCCCACACAGAGTGTGTCATAGTGCAACAGGATTACTATCACCAGAACATATTGCCCTAAATAGGGTTGCAGTTGGCACATCCTTTGGAACTGGGGGAAGGCTCCCCTGGCCATGGTTTCCATCTGCTGTTTAAGTAAGAGCTGAGAATGCAGGAGAACCCCAAGTCACAAACCAACTCCTTTGGGGGAACCAATGTTATTAAGTTGCCTTGATGTCTATTAATAGTTAGCAGCTCTGATTTGGCAGGATTTAATCTGGGCTTGTTTTTTACCCATCCATATCCTTGCAGTCTCCAGGTACCAGTACAGAACTTCAGAACTTTATTGTTTATTAAAAGCATTAATAAAGAGGAAAAAATAGAGAACATTAATAAAGAGCTCAGGAAAGGATATGAAGATAAGGATATGTAAACACCAGTGTGCCATATAATGTGAGCTCTTAAAATCAAAATTAACTAGGGACCAAGTTCTAGAATGAATTAGATAAATCCAAATTTGTGATTGCAGCATTTTTATACTACTGCAGTATAGCATTCAGCTTTGCTAATCTGTAAAAGGGCTCTGACAAATCACTCTTCCAATCTGCCTCTTAAGATGTTACCAAATGCTGTCCACAAGGTTTTCAGCAGCCAGGAGGAACCAACAGAGAATGAAGATTTCTCAGGAGGCAGGATCCTGAAGAAAAAAACAGGATTATTACAAGTCCAAATATGATGGGCTACTGTGCCTGACATCCCAAACCATGTGGTGGGATGGCAACTAAAATCAAATACACCTGGAAGGTAAACACCTGAGAATGTTGGCATTTAGGATACACATCAGTCAAAAATAGTTATAATATTGATTCACTTGCCTACAGTATTTAATACCAAAGGTTGTCCCAATGTGTTTTTTTAAACTCAGTATTGAATGTTGGATACTGTTAAATTATTTGGAGAGTATAATGAAGTAAAAAGAGGCTTCTAAACTTGACTTAATTTTTAAGAAGCTTTCTTAAATAGTTTTCAAAGAGTGGATTTGGATTTGGTGATCAATAGAAATCAGCATCTAATGTATTTGTGGCTAAAGGAATTTACTTAACTTGCATGTGCTGCTAGGTTTTATAACAGAAAGACTGCTGGGTGAATTCCTTAAGTTTCAGCTGAGCAATACTCATCTTGGTTCATACATCCCATTAACCCATCATAAGCTCTGTTTTGTTTAGGCTTAGCATATTTGTAATACGTGGCTTATGGGTTAATACAGTGAGGGAATGCAGCCATTGTGGCTTGTTGAGCAAATGCATTGTGATTTTAGTACAATGTCTGACTGAGCAGTGTGTGTGCTACCTGTACCAGAGTGGTCTAAGAGCAGAGGAATTCAATGCTATGTACATTTCAGGACAGAACGGAAGTTGGTGATGCTTACATCTCAGTAAACTTGCAAGGATTATGCTGCAATTATGTCTGACAATAGCATACACAATGAGAATTCAAAATTCCTAATGCAGGTGCATTGAATTTCTTTCTGTTATATGTTGCAGTAAGATAATGCAACACAGATAGACACATCAGAAGAGTATTGCCAAACAAAAAGTAGGCAGTTCCAGAGAAGTGGATAAATCTGAAAATACCACTGTTTCTAGCAATGTGAAAGACATCATTAACCTATTTATGGGTATGTTTATTTCAAATGAATATGCTTATTACTTATCTATTCCCTGCATCCTCTGCCATTGCAGTATGTGGATAGAACAGATTTAAAAGTCAATTGCTGACAAGTCAGACATTTTTGCTTTTACTGGGGGAAAAAACACTTCTGAAATTATCTATCATTTTTATTAGTTCAGAACACATATGACAACTTGAAAACACAGTACACAGAACACATTGTATATTTAGATTTGAAAAATCACAGTTTATGTCACCACTAAGGACATACTTCTAAAAGTAATTCTGAGCTACCAGTTTGCTTCTAAAATGAAACTGATGAAAAAAGGGAATTTGAGTAAGAAACAGGTTAACCTCCTCTCTCTATCTTTTGTTTCCACCATCAAACACTCCCCCAAGTCACTGAACTGTTTTTGCACACATTTGACTGCTTTGTCATTTCAACATGTGGCAGATGATCTACACTTTAAATTATCCTGCTGTTACTAGAAACTTTTACTTCAGCCCCCTCAGAAGTTTATCTCTGTGGAAGTTTTGAGTAAAATTCCAAACAGAATCAAAAAGAGTTTTTTTTTTAAGGTTCTGTTAAAATAACACTGCCTTCTTCCCTAAAACTGATACAATCTCACTAGCCTGGTTGTGTGGGACAAAGGTATGGGATGGGCACTATTATGTTGATAACCTAGCAATAAGCAGCATTACAGAGTTGATTGGAAGAAATGATGTAGAAAATGGGAATTGTAGTTCAGAATTTTGAAACCACAAATTCCCTGTCCCTGCTGTAATTTCAAACACATAAAGTTATCATGCCATTGGATCATCTGGTCTTACATTATCTGACATCTCTTGCAGTACATAGTTTCTCAAGTTTGAGGACAAAGCAGCTTCCCAATTTAGTTATTTTAGATCTTTTGTCTCAAAGTATGGCAGAAATAGATTCTCCTGGCATGCAAGCATGAAGCTCCCACTGACCTTTGCTCTATCTTCCAAAAATGTACATTACTAATAATGCAATTAATTCTGATTGCTTTATCATGTGTGTTTATAATATGGCTTTAAGCACATTATCTTGGTGCTGCTTCGTTTGAAGTACAATTATTAGTTAACTCAAGTGATGAAAAAACAAGAAGCAAATGCAAAAGTTGACATGATAGAAATATGTATACATCTCTAGGTTTTCAAATCCCATTTTAGTGAAAAGCTGATTGAATCATGCTGCTTCCCATTCAGCCTCTCCTCCCAAATTATGCCAGCTTGAATTATTAAATAATAAATATGTTCAGGGATAAGAAAAGTGCATATATTTCATAAGTTTTCTTTCTTTCATACATTGGAATTTGATCCAGTTAGCAGATGTGGCAGTGGAAATGTTTACAGACGTTCTAACAGCCATTATCTGTTTCTCTTGTAAGAGTCTGTATTTCAGCTCTGTGAAGAGCCATGTCTTTGAATAAAGTAATGTTTTTTATCCCAAGTGAGCCTGCTGTAACATTATAGCCAATGGCTATCCTGGTTGGGGATGATAGAAAGTGTACTATTTGAAGCATAATCTGTTGGGAAATACTGTGTATTGTTTCCTTTTGCAGTAACTATAAATTGCTATTGGAAAAGTAATTGCAATTTAATTACCTGATTTGATTTTTCCTTTCCTTCCTTCCTTCCTTCCTTCCTTCCTTCCTTCCTTCCTTCTTCCTTCCTCAGGCAGAAAAATTTGGTGATTCCTTTGTATTTGAAGGCATGTTGAGTGAAGAAGTAAAGAATGGAATTCATCAAGCTGTGAGTCGTATGCTAATGTGTTTTGTACCTATTAATTCAAAGTTGTGAACAACTGTTGTAGCCCCCAGAATATATTTGGCTTTTAAAACCCATCACCACACTATGTGAGACCTCCAATAGCAAGCTTTGAATTAATTTTGCGGACAGTGTTAGTGTTGTGAAATTGTGTGTTCTAAGAGAAGATACAAATGTAAGACCTCAGAAATAAACAGGGTGACTTTTTGTCCTTTTTTGGGAAGTTGTGATGGTCCATGTGATCTGCAATCACTACAAAGCTGTACTCTTCTTTATAAACAGAAAGTGTTGTCATCTTTGTTTGACAGTCTTTACAGACTGAATGTTCAGAGGTCATGGGTATGTGTGCCCACAGTACTAGTGCTGGGTTACATCCAGAGATGTGCAGTTAGAACAAGGTCTGCTGTGACAACAAAGTCTGTTCTGTACATTCATGTTGACTCCTAATTCCTCCCTTTCCCTCCTTACCCAGCCTTAAACCTGCTATGTTTAATTGTAACAATTGCTTACTAAAATATGGTAATAATCAGCTGAGAAATGGCGTGGGAGCTGACTCACAAAAAGCCTTCAGAGGACCCATATTTGAAAAGACATTGCAAGGTTGTGTGAAACCCTGTCTTGATATATATCTTGTTCAAAAGGGAGTATAACATATGCAAACAGAAACACACATCTGGATTTTACTTGTTTTGGTTGTGTAAAACTCTTGTGCAGTATCCAAAAATGGTCCTCCTCCTCCTGCAAGCATTTTGTAAGAATGTAAAACAATGGACACATCCCAAATCAGTAAGTCTTTTTCCTGTTTCACAGTGACTGCACTTGCTTTCATCCGTTCCTTTAATACTTTCATCCGTTCCTTTAACACTTCCAAAATTAAAAGTGTAACAAAATATATATGTGTACCACCTTGAGTGCCTAGAGAAAACAGCAAAATGTAATATAAAAATTAAACAAAAGGACAAAAGAGAAATACAAAATGTGTATGTGCGTGCAAATCCTTTTTTTCCATAATGGTATGTCCTCATATTCTAATAAATTTTTCCAAAGTTTTAGAAGGTTTAATTGTGAATTCCAACCACCTAAGTGCTAAATGAAACATTTTACACAGCCAGTCTAGAAGAATTCTTGAACTAAGTGCTAACTGCTAATCATTTAGCTATTAGCTGTGGTCTTAAGAGAGCCCACTTGATATCATCATTGTAGGAATTAACTAAACTGTTGTTGAGAAGGAATTTGTCTAGTAGATATGGCATGTTTCTTTTTACTTAGGAAAAAGATCTTATATTACATTCTTGCATTTGTGTGGTTAAAAACAATTGTTTTCATATTAAATACTTACTTATGCAGCCTTACTCTCATACGTGAATATTCATTTTTAAAAGGTAGGAATGATTGTACTGTTGTTTTTATTCTGATAATAGATATCATGTTCTTTCTAAGTATATGCATTGGGATTTATGGGAAGTAAAAACACCACAGACATCCTTGAAGAATGAAACATCTACAAATATGGTATGCAGGAACAGACCTTAATTCTAAAAAATAAAAACGATCCTTTCAGAGATGATGGTTACAAGTGTGTATATGTATATATGTATTTTATACACACACACATAATAAATCTGAAAGCAGCAGGATTCAAAAGTCAGTTTTTTGTAGGTTTGAGTGTCTTTAAAAACTGGATTAATTTGCATCAGGGAGGCCTCCTGCTTCCATTCACACCTTAGAACAAATGTGCTATGCATCTTCTGGTAATGTCAACATCATTGGATAACCTCCTGAGCTATTTCAGAAAATCAGGAGTTAGCCCCTGAAAATCAATTAGATCTTCAGAAGTCAATTTTAACTCGGAGGGGACTTAATTTTTCTTTTTAGCTGTGAAATAAAATATATTCAATAGGGCAGTAACGTATTAACTTTACTGAAAACATATGTTGGAAGCCACTTGTGGGTTTTCAGCTGCATTTTGGCAGACTGTTGGAAGAAGGCTCCAGGTGATTTAGTATTCTGGCAGATAATTAGTTTAAATTTCACTGGAGTGCTTTATCTTAACATGTTCCTTTTGTGTGCTCAAATACAAAAGTTATGCATGGGAGTAAAAATAACACACACTAAAGCACTGTGTGGGGCTTTTCAGAGGAATTATATCCTGCAGCCTGTACTCTTTCTTGAAGAAATATAATTTTTGAATAAAAAGAAAAGGGATGAAACTTGAAAACTCTCTTGAGCCACAGTTTAGAAACTGATGGGGTGTTTGGCTATGACATGATATATATGGCAAAACATAATTCTTGCTTTGTCTTCTAAAAAACTGTTCTTGTTTCTACTGTTGATATTGTGTGAAGTTATACACCTTGTCTATGGAAGACAGTACAAATTGGTTTATTTTAAATTCAGCCATGTGATTGGAGGAAATGGTGATCTACTTTAGAACTGACCAATTCCTTTCACATACTATATTGAGTTCTTCATGTTCCAATTTATTCAAGCATTTCTGGGAATTTCAGTGCTCAGAAACCTGAAAAACAGTGTTAAATATCTTTCTAGATGTACTTTAGAATTAAACCTATAAGAAGTCAACAGTACTATAGGAAATCCAATCTAGGTATAGGAGAGCATTTGTGCAAATGAACTTGCATAAGTTAATAATAACTTATTAATTAATTAATAATTTGCATAAGTTAATAATATAGGGCAGGGATGAGTAATGTATAGACTGCAACTTCCCATCACCCAGTTTGGACCCTGTAGTAAGACTGATGCCAGCCCTTTGAGGCTGACCAGAACAGGAAACAGGCTCCATAGGAAGACTAGAACTATACTTTATTAAGAAAGACTATTGTAATAGAATCTTGCAAACCCTTCCCTCCCTCTTAGGTGTCATGCATTTAGACATTCACACATGCTGTCCTGCTTAGTAACAGTCACACTTCTCTCACTACCCGTAGGGAGACGTGTGCCACACTTCCTCTGCTTGCTATCCAAATCCACAGGGTCATGGGATTACTCCTAGCCTGTGGCTGTGGGAAGCTGGAACAGGTGTGACACACAGTCCTGTCTGCAGTGGGAACTGATAAGAGAACAAGCATTCAAGCGCTCAATGGGAACAGGTTCTTTTAGCATAAGGAAACACAAAAATTCTCTAAGTAGAAACAAAGTTTATTAAGAAAGCTAAATAGAGCTCCATACCTTCAGATAATATTCATCTCACACACACAAGCCAACAAACCCTCTACACCAGGTTGATCAGGCAATGGTAAGGGGGAATGAGAACAATCAGATCTGGAAGCAGAATAAAGCACTTGGACACAGGAGGGAGTATGATGGACGCAAGAAGGACAGATGGAAGATGAAACACTTGCTGTCTCTCCAGATGGAACTGATGGAACCTTGACCCCCTCAGAGTTTTGGCTTTTATACAGTCCGTATTGGTGGGCAGATTTCTGCTGTTGGCTCACAGCCAGCAATCCTAAGTAATATTGTCTTGGCAACCTTGGGACTCTGCCCAGAAATTCTGTGATGTTACATTAGTCTTCTCTGAATACGTTGTTTCAGCGTCACTGATGAAGCCCTTCCTCCCCATCTTTGTGCTTATGCCACAGTCATTTTCAAACTAAATGTTTATTGCATAGGGAGGAGCCAGTCTGAGTCTCTTCCTAACATTTTCCTTGTTTCCTGGGCTCAAAGCATATTTTTGCACACGTTGTTGGACAATCTCTGAATAGTTTCCCCAAGGTAATCTCCGTGGCTCCTTATATATAGGTCAATGCCAGCACCTGAAAGTGTACCCAGAAACAAATCAGCAACCAATGTAGAGCCCACAGAACTGATTTCTGTGCAAACAAGACCTGAAAGTCAGTGTGTATGTGAGCCATTGCATTCTGGACTAGTTGCAGTTCTTGAGTAGTCTCTCAGGGCAGCCCCATGTAAAGTGCATTGCAGTAGTCCAACTGGGTGGTAATGGGGGCCTGAATTGCTGTAGCTAGATTCTTCTTCACCAGGTAAATTTGCAATTGGTGCAGCAGCTGAAGCTGGACCAAGGACCCCCTAGCCACAGCCTCCATTTGCTGTTCAAGTAGGAGCTGTAAGTCTGGAAGAAAACTCGGTTTGCAGACCTACTCCTTTATAAGTAGTGCTTGCCCATTCAGAGATAAAACTGGTGCTGACAGAGACCCTGATGTACAGACAGCAACTCCACCTTACTTAGGTTGTTCTTTGGTCTAGTCTCCCCCATCCAGGCCCTTATAGCCTCCAGGCACTGAGTCAGGATGTTGGCAACATCTCCTGTATAATCTGGGGTGGAAACTGATGATATCACATCCCAAACCATCAGATGACCTCTCCCAGCAGTTTCAGTTCAAAGTTGAGTACAAATTTTAGCCATTTGTACTTAATTATTTGATAGATGATGGGGATGAATATACCACCCTTTCTTCCATATAGTAGGCTCATAATAAAAGGAGGGCCCTGTGAGGTTGAATAATGTATATAGCCTGCAGCAAAAATAAGGATGTGTGGAATATGTGTATGCAGAGAAAAAGATAGTTGCAAAGAATGTTGTGGAAGAGACAAGGAATTGTTAACATTAAAATAAGTAGAGAAAATGCAGGCTTATTTTAACAGAAATAACATGTTTTGGAAATGAGTGAAGAGAACTAAACAAGGTGCCTCCAGCTGAGTGAATGGGACTAAAAATAAAAGTAATGAATTTATTTGCAATGAAACTGAAGTGAGGGAATGATGGAAGGAGTATGGATGGAAGGATTTCATCATTTGTGTCAGAATGATGTTGATATTTTGAAGAGTGAAACTTCTTGTTCCTTAATTTCTTTTTAATGGTCAAGAAAAAAAAATAAAGACATTATAAACATTGGGAGAATTATAAAGCGGTGCGTGTAGATCATGGAACTGGGTGAAGAGGAAGGGGAAGATCAAGAAAATGAATGAGATCCTGAAAGAGGGAAAGCTGAGAATCTAGAAGAAAA